GACCCCCGCCAGACAGCGTGGGCTCAGACCCCCGCCAGACAGCGTGGGCTCAGACCCCCGCCAGACAGCGTGGGCTCAGACCCCCGCCAGACAGCGTGGGCTCAGACCCCCGCCAGACAGCGTGGGCTCAGACCCCCGCCAGACAGCGTGGGCTCAGACCCCCGCCAGACAGCGTGGGCTCAGACCCCCGCCAGACAGCGTGGGCTCAGACCCCCGCCAGACAGCGTGGGCTCAGACCCCCGCCAGACAGCGTGGGCTCAGACCCCCGCCAGACAGCGTGGGCTCAGACCCCCGCCAGACAGCGTGGGCTCAGACCCCCGCCAGACAGTGTGGGCTCAGACCCCCGCCAGACAGTGTGGGCACAGACCCCCGCCAGACAGCGTGAGCACAGACCCCCGCCAGACAGCGTGGGCCAGGACAAACGGACAGCTTAGCAGCACGCGCTCTGCGTGCTAAGGAGCAGTGCTGACCATCAGTTTATCTACATTCCTTTAAAGTGAAAAAAGAAAAAGCCGTCTTTAAAGGACCAAGAGGTTCTACTCTCAAAGCTCATGTTAAAGCCAGGAATGTGGACTTCAAACACGTTTACCCCGACATAGTCTATTTGCAGGGGAAAAAGGCAGACACAAGGCTGTGGAGACATTTCATAGGTCTCAAGTCACTCACACTCTCAGGCAATATCGTCAATGGGCCCAATTCCGTGCTGGGCGCGGAGGCGCAGCCCTGACACCCCACCCGCCTCTGTCTCGGTTATGACACAGGTGGCTGCTCCCAGCCGGGGTCTCTGTCAGGACAGCAGGCAAACTGGTGGCCCTGGCATTCACGTTTCGGGCACCTTATGTGGCTGTGTGAGCAGATGTGGGCTCACAACAGACTGTGAGGGGGAAGGAGCCATGAGGTCCTCTGCATCTGTGACCGGCAGAGGACGGGGCAGGCTCCCACAGCTGGAGGGGTGCTGGGGGGGCCACAGGCAGGGAGCAGGAGTGCAGGAGGCAGGGAGGGGCGGCCAGGGGAAGCTGGCTCTGGCCCAGGAAGGACTCCACGTGCCTGAGGCTGGAGGTGAATGACATCAAGGGGGAGGAGGGCTGGGTGACTAGAGCAGCTTGGGCTTGCTATAGCCTTCAGTCTGTGATAGGGACTCCCAAGGTGGGCAGCGGTCAGTCAGGAGGGGCTCATCAACCTCCTACAAGGCTCTGGAGAAAACCCAAACCCTTGTCCTGGGCTACAGGGCACGTCATAAACCTGCCCCTCCTGCGCCCACCCTCATAGCGTCTGGTCCCCCACCCCCTCTCCTGCGATGCTGCGCTTTTCTGTACAAAGGCCCTGCGCTTTGCCCTCCCTCTTCCTTCAAAGAGGAATCACCTCCGCTTGGCCTTCGCCCCTTGACCACCCTAGAGACATAGGCCCAGCCTGTCATTCATTCTCTCTCTCTCTCTCTCTCTCTCTCTCCTGACCACCCTAGAGACATAGGCCCAGCCTGTCATTCTCTCTCTCTCTCTCTCTCTCTCTCTCTCTCTCGGCGCCTCATTTCTTTCCGGCCACCACACTGTTAACAATTGGCAACTTCATGTAATATGTTTGCTTGTTTTCTCTCTGTCAACTCCACCACGGCATTCCCGTAATTTCTACTGCATCCCTAATGCCTAGTGCCTGGTGCTTTGCAGGTGCTTGATAAGGATTTGTTGAATGAATAATAAAGAGCTAATATCCGGCCCTTGAACACACATGAAAACCTGATCACTCCCTATTGGAAACTTGATGAAATTTTGTAACCACTGACCAAGGACCTGCTGCTCATTTCTAACTTTTCTGGTCTAAGGCGATAGATAAACTTGGGAATCACTCCACAGCTGATCTCAATCAAAGTTCTTAGACTCCAAGTCCCCGCCCTGGGCCAAACAGCTGTGAGATGGCAGCTTGCAAAGGCCACACATACCCGAGCACAGAGCACAGCTTGTCCATGGCAATATGACAGGAAAACAAAACAGCTGTGCTTACAGGAACACAGGAATTTGCCTGCCTGTTCTAAAAGACATTCTAAAGATTTAAAGAAGAAAGGCCAACCATGAGCAGGCATTGTTCTATAATTCATTCCTTCCTTCCAACATCTTCTTGTCCCTCCATTCATTTTATTCAATGCTCGAGGTACTGTGCTAAGTGCCGGGGAAAACCCTGGTGAGTAAACTCTCTGACCCCAGATAGCTGATAACATAGATCAGGAAACAGGCGACACTTCAGAGAGCTAACTGCGGGAGCAGAGTGTTTTCAGGCTGCTGTGGGGAGGGCATCTGACTCAGTCCTGAGTGTGAGGGGTGATCAGCACAGGCTTCTGAGAGGAAGTGACCTCTGTGTGAGGCTTGAAGGACAACAAGGGTGACTGAAGCGAGGGAAGGAGCAGGGCAGCCTCGCTGAGACCCAGAGTTACTAGGGAGGAAAGAGAGTATTCCAGGCAAAGAAGAAAAAAGAAAGTTTGCAAGTCCTGGAAGGTTTATTCCTTAATGCTGCGAGATGCACAACCCATGTACTTACAGTTCAAGAAGTCATCTAAGTGTCCATTAACAGATTAATGGATGAAGAAAAGAATATATATATATATATATACACACACACACACACACACACATACATACACACACAATGGAATATATAATTCGGCCATGAAAAGGAAGGAAATCCTACCATCTGTGACAACATGGATGAACCTTGAGGGCATTATAGTGATATAAATCAGACAGAGAAAGACAAATACCGTATGACCTCACTTATATGTGGAATCTTTAAAAAAAACCCCAAACATAAATATAGATAATAGACAGGTGATTGGCAGAGGTGGTGGGGTGGGGGGTTGGCGGGGGAATGGGTGAATGAGTGAAGCTGGTTGAAAGGTACAAACTTGAGCCCTGCTGGGTAGCTCAGTTGGTTAGAGTGTCATCCTAAAATGCTAAGGCTGTGGGTTTGACCCCTGGTCAACCAATGAATGCATAAATAAGTGGAACAAGAAATCGACGTTTGTCTCTCTCTTTAAAAATCAATCACAAAAAAGGTAAGTCCTGGGTATTTAATGTACAGCTTGGTAACTATAGTTAAAATATCATATCACATATTTAAAATTTGCTAAGAGAGTCTTAAAACTTCTGATCACAAGAAAAATAATTTATAAGTATGTGAGGTGATGACATTAACTATAATATAGCTATTTTTAATAACTAAACTTACTGTTGTAATTATACTGTAATATACACATATATCAAATCATTATGTTTTCACTGAAAATGAATACAATATTATATGGCAAATATATCTCAATAAAACTGGAAAAAAGTGGCATTGTCACAGTACTTGTGTAAAATGATAATAAAAAAGAATGCAGTATAGTATCTCATAATGGTTTAAGAGGAAAAAAAAACTTGGGATCGAGTCTTGCTTCTTCCACTTGCTAGGTGTGTGGCACTTGGAGGAATGACATTGGCTCTCTGAATCTCAGTTTTCTTGACTGCAAAATGGGGTAGTGATAATAACACCCACTTTGTCTAGTGGTTGCAAAGATTAAGTGAGGTGATGACCTGAAGCACTTAGCCCAGTGCGGGGCACGATTTCTCCCTGTTCTAAAAACCATTCCTGGGGAGAACTTTATGTCTTATTATCCATATCTCTGAACCTTTCACAGCATGCACTTTCTTTTTTAAAATTAAATTTACTGGGATAACATTGGTTGATAACATTATATAAATGTCAGGTATACACCTTATAATCTGGCCTCTGTATACCGTATTGTGTGCTCACCACCCGAAGTCTAGTCTCCTTACGTCACCATATATTTGATCCCCTTTACCCTCCTTATCCCCCACCTCCTTCCCCTCATCACACCATTCTGTCATCTCTATGGGTTCGCTTTTTGTTTGTTTTTATTAACTTGTTGCTTTCAGCTTTATATTTCACATATCAGTGAAATCATATGGTTCTTGTACTTTTCCACCCAACTTATTTAGCTTAGCATAATACTCTCAAGATCCAACCATGTGTTCACAAATGGAGAGTATTTCATCTTTTTTATGGCTAAGTAGTATTCCATTATATAACTGTAGGTTTACAGTTGTGAGTATGTGAAACAGAGTTTATTCTTGTATTATTATTTATGAACTACTGTATCATTTATTTGTAATACAACTATAAACCTACACTTGTGTGTGTACCACATCCCCTGTGTGTGTACCACATCTCCTTTAGCTAATCGTTTGTCAAAGGACACTTGGGTTGTTGCCATGTCCTGGCTATTGTGAATAACAGCATGCATTTTCTATTTCATTCCAATGTCACTGGATGTGGTTTTCTTCCTAAAGCTCTTTCCCCCCTTTTCTACAATCGAATCTTCTGATACAGAGGATACCTCCTACTAATGTCTTTCTTTGCCAGCCAGACGTTTCCCCAGGGACATTTGGTGTATTATTTAACTGAGTGTTAACATTAAACATTAACATTTTCTTTAACCAATTATTAAGAGGGAGAAAAACAAGTCTGTCTGTTTCTGCATCAACGGAGCAGTTCTTCAGATTCCATCATTTTCCAATGTGGAAATACTTCACTAATTAACCGGGATTTCAGTGAGGGCCTGTCTTCTACCTCACATCCAAGACCTGGATGCAGGAGCACAGGGGAGTCCCAGCTCAAGTCTGTGGCTGTCTGCCTACACACAACGGCCAAGCCTGGATACACATATTTAAAATATTTCCTCCATTTCCCCTCCTCCTAGGTCAGTTATCTGCAAGCATTTTGCCTAAGGCAGCTGGACTGGGAACCTTCAAGGATGTAGACAGAGGAATTGTGCAAAAAAAGGAGCCGCCCCACCAGGGTGGGAGTGAGCTGCCTGCCTCTGACCGCAGACCTCTGGGTCCGAGCCAGCCCTGTCACTGTGCTCGAAGGCTTCACAGGGGACGGCTGTGATGATGGCAAGGGGGTTGAGCAAAATGCCTGGCAGGTGCCCACTTCATGGTTCTACTTACTTCTTGCCATTCCTCTGTCCTCCAGGCGTAGAGCGGACACAGCGGGGCTCTGCAGGTGCGCTCCGACTCCGGCCTGGTGTACGGGTTGCACTCGGTCTCTCTGGCTACCTTGCGAGGTCCCAGCTGACAGCCCACATTTCTCCGCTGCACGCCGTGGCCGCAGGACACAGAGCACTGAGAAGACAGAGTGTGTAAGTGGGAGCTGTGGGTCACTGTGTGGAGGGGGGCGGGGAGTCCCAGACCTGGGGATGCACCCTCATCCGATGCCTTTCGCAGCTATCACAAGGGTTTCTAATTCCCAGTGAAAGAGACCCACTGCCTGCCCATGTCGGGGAGGAGGAGGATGTTGAAGTTTGGGGAATCTCTAAAGTGAACAAAACTCTTAGGATGATAAAGGGGTTGGGAGAGATCATTAGGAAACATTTAGTACAACCTAGAAATAGAGCTGCCACGTGAAGTGGGAATCCCAAATGATGGCTATTCTGGAGGATCTGAGGCTCTTGAAAATCGGCACTGCAGCACTCTACAGGAATACCTTCTTGGCAGGTTAAAAGAATAACCCAAGGAGAGGAAGTAGGACAAGTATTTTCTCCAGCCTCTTCCTCTTTCTATTCCTGGAGATGAATGACTTTTTTTTAAAAACTATGGAATGCACTCAAGTATTTCTGTCTATCTACAGCCTAAGATGAATACATAAGAATAAAAGCTGATGAGGTAAAACCCTTTCCGCAGGCATAATGTTTCAGCTCCTGAAAAATACTGCTAATCAGGCTGAACCATTTGGTTGACCAAGTTGCAAAACACCACATTAAATCTGCAATTAACTTTCCTCTAAATTAATTTTTTAATGGCTTCCTCATTGCTGGATTTTGTAATCTCACTGATGGGTAGGCCAAGAATGATGGTCTTTATTAAGGCTTGGACAGGTAGAAACTAAAGGCACCGCGTATTATTACACTTAGTTATTTAAAATGTTTACCAAGTTTTTGTGATAGTGCAGCTTCCATTAATTTGGCTGGCATGGAGAAAACAAGTTTAACATACATTAAAGCCATATTCCTAAGAGGAAATCTTTATAAAGAATAGAATTACGCTCTTAAATTAGAAAGAAATTCTTATCCAATTAACCTGCAGTAGGACTCATCTCACGCTGAGCTCATGGAAATTTACTCTTATGTACACCCATTGGATTCTGCTGACTAGGAACTTTATTGCCATTTCGGATTTTAAGAAAATAGGTGATACTGTGTAGAAGGCAGCTCAGGAAATCATATTGTTTCAGATGAGTCTGTGCCAGGCGGGAGCTCCAATGCTCAAAGCCGGCTGGAGAGGGACTGTTCTGGAGAAACATAGGTGCTGTTGTTTGGATTTATTTGTATTCATTCATTGGATTGCATGAGTTTGTGACCCACAAAAACCAGACTTTTAGAGTCATTTTATCCCGGTGGAACGGGGACGGCCTGAACAGGAGTGACAGCCTTGTGTCCAGGGGATGGCCATAGAATGCCACGGGAGCCACATGTGCAGTATTTCCCACCGATTACCCTGGAAACGAGTGGACGGTGCCACGGGAGAGTTAGACACGAATGACAGAAGCATCAAACACTGTCATTACCCACAAACAACCACCACCAAAAAGCCCTGTGGCGATCTAAATTTGGAGTCTACAATACAAATCACTACATTTCCAGAACAATGTGTCCAAATGGAAATACAGCGACAGAAAAAGAACAGTTACACAAACAAATCTGAGTCGGCCACAGGGCTATCTATTCAAAAGCTCACAGTGCCTTAATAGCCTAAAGAAAAGGGAAACAACGTCAAAGACTGGTAGAGTGCGTACTCTTCAGGCTCACAGTCAACAGAACCTCTTTTTAATGCTGTCCTTACTGAGTAAATCACTCATGGCTGAAGGAAGGCAGGGCATGGAGAACCCTAAGTATGCAACATTTAAGAAATCACTACAAGGTGTGATAATTCTTCAGAGGCAAGTAAAGACACAGGAAAGTTCAATTACATCATGTATCTCTGTGGCTTCTGGTTTTTATAATGTCAAAGCCAGCTATGAGATGACAGCAAGGTTCCCACATGGCTGAAATGCATGGCAAGGCAGGCACGTGTGGCTCCATGGGAATCTGTGTTAGAAGGGAGTGCCCCGCCTCAGGTCCTCTCTGGACTCCAGGCTTTTTCCTGTGCTGTCTCGGGGACGCAAGGATTTGCACACACAGCCAGCCAGGCTTGCTTGGAGAATCCTGAGAGGTTTGTGCAGAGACCCCATGAATAAAACAGCATCAAAAAGACCTCCGCCTGACCCCGGAGGTGGTGGCGGTGGTGGCTTGTGCACGGTGCGTGCTTAATTCTTCTCGTTTGTCAAGGGGAAAAGTTAAGCAGCCTGTGTGAACGTGGCCCCACTGCCCTCGTTCCGCACGGCAGTCTATCTGTGCGGGACTGAAAGGCGATGTTTTCAGTTCCGAACGACTGAGCTGGAGCTGGATTTCGTCTCTGTGCTCCCTGCTGTGCGGAGCTACTTTGCAAAACTCAGCGCCCTAAAGAGGGAACTGGACGCTTCTGTGCTTCCATAGATAGAAGAATCTCTGTGCAAGTTCTGTCTGGGGAATCATAATATACAGCTGAAAACCTGGAGGGAATTTTAGAAACTTTCTCCCAGTATTACTGTGGTGACATGACTTAAAGGAGGGACTAGCTTGAAAAGTAACTATATGAACCAAATATCCTATATAATCAAGAGCTAATATGCTAATTAGACCGAACAACAGAACGACCATCTGGATGACCTTCCGGACGAAACCGGGGCTGCAAGGGCTGAGGCAGCAGCTGGGGCTGCGAGGGCCTATCCTTGCACAAATTTAGTGCATCGGGCCTCTAGTAATAATATAATCATGTAATAATAGTAACAACAGTAACAGAAACATTTGACTAAGCATTGACTATGACCAGTCTGTAAACTAGGGCTTCACACCCTGTATTCTTCTTTGTTGGGGACTGCCCGGTGCCTTATGGGAAGTCTAGCAGCGTCTCTGGACTCTACCCACTGGATGTCAGTTGCATTTCCCTTCCTCCACCAGGTTGTGGCAACCTAAGCTGTCTCCAGACGCTGCCAAATGTCTCGAGAGTTAAAAAACCACCCTGGTTGGGAGCATAGCTCTATGCTAAGCACGTTACATGAAATACCTTTTGTATTTTCTTAGTAACCCTTTTAGGCAGATACTCCACAAGTAAATTAAGCAAAGAGCACATATAATCACTCTAACTCAAGCAGAAACAAGGAAAAAACAAACAACAAAGTAAATTCTGTCCTTGGCAATGTACTGGCTGTAGCTACTGTGGGTTAGAATGTGGCTCCCACCTTTAGAGTATGGTGCGAATAGGAGGCAGTCTTCTGTACTATGTCAGCACGGGTGTAGGTGAGAGGCCTGTATTCAAAACAATTCAACCTCTGCTTACGGCCCAAACACAAGCACAGATATGAGAGCACACACATCTGTCTCTGAAGCTGACCATGCGCATATGGTCTCCTTGATTTCTCAAAAGACACAGCCACCTATTTGCCATGCTGCTCCCTTACACACGTGCAGAGCACTTCAGAGCCTGACACCACAGCCAAGCTGTTCTCACTGTAGTCATGACAAAAATCCTAACCCAAATGGCCAGTAGATTCATGTTGCAAGTGCCAGTTTCTATTTTGGCAATTGCTCTAAGAGCTTGAAGAAAGGAATTACTGCCCTGAGTCTAAGACACCACTGATTGCAAGCACAGCATCATGTTTTTATCAGTAAGAAAGAAAACAGGGGCTGTTAATTAAGTCACGGCATTCCATTGATTGTTAGGCCCATCCTGACCCTTGCGATGGTAAATCATAAAAAAGACGGGTACCTCAGGATTGGTGAATGCACCCAGTGAATGAGTTCATGACTGATAGATTCTAATTCCATTATTTATTCTTTTCACTTCCAATCTTCATTTTTTAAAAAGCCTTTCAATAGGAATAGGATAAAGTAAAAAAAAAAAAAAGATTACCCTGGAATGCTTTCATATTGTGACAAAACAGGTTTCTCACTTTTATCAAGAGGAATCAGGAATCTGATGTTGAATTTTGTCTTAAATTTCATAGGCATCTATCTAACCTTAGCTCTTGATCAAAATCATCTAAACAACCCGAACATGAACTTTTGAAAAAAATTGCTTTAAAACTACAGTGAGGATGTTTCCCAAGAAAAGCGTTCTTTTCCTTGGAGAAATTTCCTTTACAATTTCAAGATTTTCAAAAGGTACAGGTTGAATGAAACATTCCACTTTAAACCTCAAAACACCAATTTTGAGGGAGAGACTACGAAGATTAATTAGTACAACTACCCCAGTGTCCTATCCCAATATTCCATATGTCTTATTATCATCAGACATTTTGACATGATGAGAAATTGCACTAATTATTCTTCCTACCTTGAAGAAGAGATGACCAGAAAATAGCTACCAGCAGAAGACACAGGGACCAGATATGAAATCTTCTCAATTTGTTGCAAATGGATCATCATTACTCTTGCTGTAATATCGCTGCCTTCGGGGTATTCCTGTCTACCTCGGTATCATTAGTGAGCCAATAATCCTTCATCATGCAGACGGCCTTTCTGCATCAGCCACTGGGTCTGATTACTTTCAGGCACACTTCTAAGCTGCACAGACTGGGCTTCACCTCTGCAGCACCTTGTCTTACCCGCTTTCCTAATTCTTTTCTACAAATCAAATCAGGGCATTCTAAAGCTGGCCACAGACCACTATCCGGCTGTGTTGACCTGCATCTTCAACTAGACCAGTGGTTCTCAACCTTCCTAATGCCGTGACACTTTAATACAGTTCCTCATGTTGTGGTGACCCCCAACCGTAAAATTATTTTCGTTGCTACTTCATAACTGTAATTTTGCTACTGTTATGAATCCTAATGCAAATACCTGATATGCAGGATGTATTTTCATTGTTACAAATTGAACATAATTAAAGCATAGTGATGAATCACAAAAACAATATGTAATTATATATCTGTTTTCCGATGGTCTTAGGCGACCCCTGTGAAAGGGTCCTTCGACCCCCAGGTTGAGAACCGCTGAACTAGACTTTTCTAAGCAATCACTTTGAGCAGGTGCGGTGTTTTCTGAGGA